GACCGTGAGATCATGACCTGAGCCAAAGTCGGAAGCTCAACCGAGCCACCCAGGCGCCCCTAAAATCAAATTAAAGCACACTTGAATCCAAGTTACCGCAGGTTTGCATTCATTGTTCACGAATTGTACAGGAAACGGCAGGCACAAACCTCGTGGATGGACCGTGAGGCTGTGCAGGTGAGGAGAGCTGGGATGGTGGCAGGAGTGTGATGCTACTAATGGGCTGTTCTGAGTGGCCACGGCCACCATGTGCAGATAGCCCACCTGTTTCTTTGCTTGGTGGACATACAAGGCAAGCTGTGAATCATCTACCAGTCCCATAGTCTAATTCACAGTGTAATACTTAGTCTTTATAAACCTCACTTCAATCATTGGAACTGTCACATTTATGAAATAAAATAACATTTTCCCTTCTGTCTTAGTTTGTGGTGATAACCGTGTGTTTGAAAGCTGGATTGGAGACCTCATATTGGACATGGGTAAGAGTGTCTCTATCCACAACCAAGGCATTTCCCGTTTACTTAGGTGTTAACTGTGAACATTGTTGTTCTTTATACTAACTTTACGTATCCCTGTTCCCTGGTCCCACAGTTTGTTCATCGTGAGGGGTCTTGGGTGGAAGGAGGAGAACTGGGGATTCTAGTTTGTCTGATTTGGAAACAGTGAATAAAGAAAACTGAAGTAGGTTTATTGACCACAAGAGTGTCAGAGCCTTTAATATATTATTGTGTATTGTGAATATCCCAGGAAGGAGAGAGGCTTCCAAACTTATTTGACTAAAGAGTCTTTTCTTAGTAGAATGTGTCGCAAGATGCATTTGGCGGAAAACCCGCTGGAAAATGATTATGAAGACCAGCAACATTAGCAAAAATTTGTCCTCAGATATTTGTAAATACCCAGTTTGGGTAAAAACATGTTCCAGTTTAGAACATTAGTTTTGCGGTATCCAGGTAGAGAGACCCAAGAAGCAAAAAGAAATGAAAGTTTGATGTTCAGGAGAAAGATGGGCACAAGAAACGTGGAGCTGACCATCATCAACATACAGGTAGCATTCTCCCACGTGTCTAACTTCTCCCAGAGACAGCATGCAAAGTGAAAACAAAGGAGGTTAAACATGGCAGCAGATGAAAAAGAGGAGATTCGGAGGAGAAAGCCCCCAAAGGAGACAGAGACGGAACACTTCTAAATGCCAGTAGCACAAACATCCTAGCCGTGGTTGGAAGACATTAGCATTAGCCCTGATGAAGGATCTAGTTAAACACGCCCACATCATTGTTTAGAAATTCCTATAGATACTATTTGATGGATGTAGTAAAAAATTAATAAGGGAATTTGTGAAAGCTTCATTAGTGTTTGTGGAGCCGGCCTACCTAAAAGTCTCGTGACTCAGATTCTCTTCCTTCACAGTTCAGCCATATTGCGATTTGGGGCAGCATCGTACTCTGGGTGGTGTTTTTTGGAATCTACTCATCTCTGTGGCCTGCTGTTCCGATGGCCCCTGATATGTCAGGAGAGGTAATGTGTCCTGATAACTCCCGATCCAACTAATCTTAAAAATTCGTGTTCATTAACGAACCTTGTTTGGCATGGATTTGTATTAAAATAGTATTTGGCCATTTAAAAGCTATTTTTAATTTCCACAGTTGCAAGTGATAAATCTTGAGAGAACATTTTAAACTTGGACATTCTACTTAAATCTGACTTACCCTTTCAAAATCCTAGCTGGAACACTAAAATGTGGTCAGGAGCTTTATTCATGTTAAGAATCTCCATCTAGAAGATGCCATTTTAAAATTAGACTATAAATCCACAAATACATTTTGAATCAGAGATTTGGAGAAATGGTTAGCTGATGTCTTTGGGACAGTCTGTCATTTCTTCTGTTATCTCTCATTCTAGGGAAAAGTGTACCGTCACTAGATTAAATGTACTTTTAGAGTCGTCTTAATGAGATTGGTTTAGTTTTCATTTTGAACGAGTTAGGGCATCTGACGTTTCAGCCTTATCACAGTCCATTTTCAATTCTGTCTTTTAGGTTCTGGTTACACTGGTAGGAATTGAGTTATTAGGTGTTCATGGGGGAGTGTCACAAGATCTCCTTTCCTTCAGAAGAGATTCCAGCAGTAGGAGGGTTTATGATTTCAATTGCAGGAAATTTGACATAAAATGTATAAAAGAAAATGTGGAAAACATTTCAGGATTTCCTGTGACCTCACAGTAACTTGCAAATCAAGGAAATGTGAGCTCCGTTACAGTACATTGTTGTCCTGCAGCCACAGGAAAGATTTCCAGTGGTTTCCATGGATTTGTTGCCCCTAAGTACTGCCTGAGTACCTTTCACTTTTGACAGTCTGGTTTATAGATCATTTTCATGAAATTTTATCTGACAGCATCCTGCTTTTTATAAATTAGCAGAATGCAGACACGTTTGAAAAAAATTTTTGTGGTTCAATTTATTAGAGAGAGGTATTATATACTATTACAGCAAAACCAGACGTATCAAGGAGCATGTACTTCCTTCCACCAGAGGTGAGGGCTTCTTTGGAAACATGTACTATGAACTCTGGAAAATTTACAGCATGTATTGTGAGGAAAACAGAAAGCTGTGAATGCATCTGCTTACCTTGCTTAGAGTCCTTTTTTCCTGAAGAAGTAAAATCAGAGACTATGTGTGTCTGAAGATACCATTTGGAAAATCAGTCCTTTGTTTTTATTTGATGTTCTCTGACCGGACCTGCTTTTCCCTGAGGTTAAAATTCCAATTCAATATCATTTTCATTAGACCTCATTTTACCTCACTTCTTAATGTTTTATCTTCAAAATGAATGTCACAGAAGATGTTGAGATTCAGATAGTTTAAGCCACTGTAGCCAACAGCTTTGATGACAAGAACAGAGTCTTTGACCACCTACTTCTAAAAGAAGTGTGAAGTTTGATTGGCTTTTTGCCAACCAAATATAATTCTACCCTTGCCTGTAGAATTCCTGGTATTACCCACACAGAGAACTTAATATCATCTCTTGAGATTTGCGGTGATGCTGTGTTTAATTCAAAGTGAAGTGAATGTCGGTACTCCATCACGTTTCTCTTCACTTCACATACAGGGGGAAGTGCTAATAGGGATTCTTTTTCTTGTTATTACTACCGATTCTTTGAATACAGTGTTTAAATACCTGGGGCTCCATTGAAAATATGAAAAACGGATTAATTTAGCTGTAGACTTGACTGTAAGACTGTTGAATTTATTCAAAGAAAAGAATACTTTAAATTTATATAGTAGTTAGTGCTTAGAAAGTCTTTTGCTGTATGTGTGTGTGTGTGTGTGTGTGTGTGTGTGTGTGTATGCACGTGTGCAAATGAGCCTCATGGCAACTGCCAAAAAAGAGTTTAACAAGAATGCCACTCACATTCTCAGGGATAGAGAATTTACATTTACTGTTTCCTGGGCACTAGGGTTAGATCCCAAGAATATTTGTAGCAATACTCAATTTCTTGGACTTTTTTTAAGTTTGTTTATTTATTTTGAGAGAGCGAGCATAAGCAAGGGAGAGGCAGAGAGAGAGGGAGAGAGAGAATCCCAAGCAGGCTCCATGCTGCCAACATAGAGCCTGATGCAGGGCTAGAACTCATGAACCATGAGATCATGACTTGAGCGGGAATCAGCAGTCAGACAATTAACCAACTGAGCCACCCAAGTGCCCCAGTTTTTGAACATTTTTATTATGTGTAGAGAGTCACTAGTTCTACTATAATCCAGTTTAATTTCAGAAAGAAGCAACTACCCTTAGGTTTACATTTTTCTAAGCTTAAAATTCTATATTTCAGTCAAGAGTGTAGCCAGATACATAGCATACATATATACAAACATGAAAATATATGAAAAATTTATTTATGTACCAATATTTATACCTGTATGTATTATACCACATATATATACATATATATACACACACCATATATATAATACCATATATATATGTATACCATATATACATGTATATATAAAATACCATTTTGCTATGAAAGTTAACAGATGAATAAATAAATCTTTTTCAAGATGGCTGGCCAATTATACACACACACGTGTGTGTGTGTGTATATATATAATTGGCCAGCCATCTTGAATAAGATTTATTCATCTGTTAACTTTCATAGCAAAATGGTATTATATACTACATATATATTATTGGGTGTTACATATAATAATATATTACTATAAATAACATCAGGATAAGTATAAATATTAGCATTCCTCAACTTGACATGTTTTATGTGATCCACATAATGAAACACGGGGCCCGGGGTAGCTCCCAGGGTTTAAGGCTCCTCCACAGGATTCGTGGTGTGGTGTGTAGTAACTTTCTGTCGCAACCCCTACCGAGTCTCAGTGTCTAATTCCAAGACTCCACCCAAGGACCCCAGTTCTTTCCTATATTGATGTGGCAGCAGTTTCTCCCAGAACGAAACAATTAATTAAATATGTATGCATGTTTGGTTGCCTAAAAGCATAATAAGGGCCCACAGGATAGTCCAGAATTCCTAGAACTGAAAATAGTAGCCCTACTGGCCCATCCTGGTCCAGGTGATATTTTAGGGATGGTGATACACTGTGTGGCGTCAGCAAGACAGAGCAGTTATTCAAAAAGGCAACCAAGATCTAGGAAAAATAATACCTAGTGTATATTAAATACTTAGTGTATTGAACACTGTATCCAGGGAACTTCTCTAAATACTTTATATGCATTCACTCAGTCAATACACCAACTATTTGTTGAGATCCTTCAATCATTCAGCCACTGTTCTAGACACTGGATTCATTAGGAAATAAAACAGACAAAAACTCATGTACTTCTCAGCTCACCTTTCTAGTGGAAGAAGACAGACAAATAATTAAGAGAAACATATAGACAAGTACAAGTATTATAGAGAAAATTATAGCAGGTAAGGAGGGCCAAGAGCCAAGATTTCAGTCATGTTTCCCATACAGCCTTATGGCTTTTACTTATGGCCAAATCAAGAGCCAAAGTGACTGGATCTGACTTAGGTTTTCATGGCAGGACCATGGCTGCTGTGTTGTAAACCTTTGCAGAGGTTATCACAGTAACCCAGGTGGGAGATCACAGTGGCATGGGTCAGGAGGACAGCAGTGGTGCAAGTGGTCAGATTCCAAATCTCCATTAAAAGTAGAGCCAATTGGGTTTGCCAACAGACCAGATGGCAGGAGTGAGAGTGAAAGAAGCCAAGGCAGACCCCATAGTGTTGTCTGTGAATTTCGTTAGGAGTGCTTGTCCTCTGTTCCCTGGATCCTCACTGCAGACTGGTTGTAACCACTCTACAGATGAGAAAGCAGAGATGCACAGAAGTTACAGAGGCAGATTTCAGCACAAATAGAACATCTAAAGAGCCAATATGTAGTGACGTCTAGTGACAGAATAGGATGCTGGGCTCATTGAGGAAACCCTTTCTGTGCCAGTGGGCCACCAGTGATTCTTAGGCAGAATCTATCATCTGCACATCCAAGGCTGCCTTCCAACTCCTAAGATTCAGATTCTCTGTGTGCTTGTCTTCACTCAGTTCTCTCCAGAGGAACATCTTAAATGTTGCAAGGGCACAGACTATTTTGCTCTAGTTAACAGGATCTCAGGGTGCAAATTGTACACAAATTAGGCAACTTACAGGTACAGGTCTCATGCTTCTATATTCAGCTTGATGCATCTTCACACATAGATCAGGATTTTATAGTCCTTTCCAATCTACATTCTTAGTTCATCATTGCAGCCCCATCTGAAGACAGAGTTGTATCTTTCAACATGTTGAAAGAAAATCCTTGCAACACTAAGAATGGAAGGGAACCAACATTTACTGTGCACCCACCATATTCTCCAGGCACTTGTGTTTGATTTCAAGCATTCCTTGTTTTATTTAAACCCAGACAATAAACCTTTGTGGTAAGCAAAACAATAGCAAGTGACCTAGAGAAGTTACCCCAGGTTTTCTTTTCAAATTCTGGTTTCCGCTAACATCCTAAGGATCGAAATACCTTCTCTTTGGGGCCCTTGATCTTCCTTACTCCCAAGTGGGAAAGTCTTTTTTTTTTTCTTTCCTTCCTGGAACTATGTTGCCTGCACTCCATTGATTTCTCTGATTTATCTATTTCCTGGGATACCTGGGGCCCTCATCAGTTTCCCTAAGTTGGCCAATTACAAAATTCCCTCAGTTGGCCCATCTCTCTTAAAAAGTCCCCAAATTTTTAACTATCCCTTTTCAACACCTACCTAACTTCCTAAATACATTTATAGAAATTCCATCTCATTTCATAACCTAGACTCTTGGCTCTTCTTAACAGTGATACCAGTATAAATAATACCATTCTCATTTTTTAAAAATACACAAAAAATTGAAAACCCAATCATCCCATTATCATTAGAGAATGTACGGTTGCCACTCTGATGGTAATAGGTCCTCATTTACTGAAGGCCAGTCACCGTTCTAGCACTTTCCATGCCTTCACTCAT